CTCCGGCTCGTTCAGAAAAAAGAGAGTTTGTGAGAGAACTACAGTCTTTCAGGAATTCCCACGTTCCATATTTTTATCACAGTGGAATGTTTCATTTCCTGGTTTGTGCGCAGCGTTCTGGCCCTTTGCCTTCGGGAGTGAAAGGATAACAGAGGCTCCCACCCCTCCACACACTCTCCAGGCTCTAGGGGGCCTCTAGGGGGCCTGGAGAGTGTGTGGAGGGGTGGGGGCCTCTGTGCAGGGGCCTGAAGAATCTCTCACATTTCTGCATAAAATCACCATTAAATGTGATCTGGTCTTTCTCACAGTCACATGGACGAGGAGAACATGCAAACAGTGACAGATGGAGTAAGAACCTTCTGCATGAGGAGCATTAATGTGGTTTCATCTGTGTGTTTTTAGTGCTGTGAAACTCCAAAGATCTGAAAACCTGTGCCAAGAAGTGATTTGTATAAAACTACAGAAGGATCTAGAACATCTCTAAAAGTCTGGATGTTCAGGACCCATGTGCTCGGGGGATTCTCGCGGTACTGAAGACTAAACCAGACTAAACCAGACTAAATTCACGTGGGCTACCCAGACATTTTCCCCATAGAACTCAATTTAAATTAAAACAGCTCAACCTCAGCTGACAGAGAACCTACAGCTTTAATAAAGGTCAGATTTTGTGGGGATTTTAGTGTCCCTTGTCGTCCTGAACTTTTTTTCTTCTTAAATCCTTCGGTTTTGTTTAAATCCACACTTTAGTGCCACAAACTCTGCTCCTCTGGCTCTCGCTCTAACTCCCGCTCTGATGAACTGCTCTGATTGGTCAGAGCGTGGCCGAGCCCCCTCTGTGCATGAGAGCCACACACGCGTATTTGGCGCAAAGCATCATGGGAGATAATCCACTGCACAGAACCGGGAGGACCAGACGATGCCCAAATACAGGAGAGTTTCCCATAGATCTTTGAGAGTTTCAGGCGAGTTCTGCAAATATGTCAGCCCCCATGCCGTCACGATTCATTTGAATACGGCGCCATCTTGGATCGCCAGGGCTTAAGTTACTCCCTCTGACTTTATTAAGGCTCAAAATCGTTCTTTGGTTTTAAACAGACAGTTATTCGTCCAGAGGAGAAATGTCCACATTGACGAACACAGCGTCAGAACTGAAAGGAACATGAAAAATGTGCAAACAGTAAAGGCGACAGACTTCGAGTGTCAGGAACGATCCAGACAGAGACGGACTTCACTCAAACAGGGATAAAACAAAACCACTTCCAGGGATTGCTTTTCTGAGACCAGACGTTTAAGGCCTCTTCCATGTGTGACAGAGCCAAGCACCTCCTGGTCCTGAGGAAAACTACAAGACAAAACAGAGGGGTGTGTCCAGATAACTATTCCCCAAACACAGTTCTATAAACAAATGGTTCCTAGTGTCCAACACGAGCAAAACATATGAAATTACTTTAACTTTGAATTGTACTTTTAATTATGTGCAATATTTGTATCTTTTTTACGTGTAATTATTGAAAATATTAACTTACATAAATGAGACTAAACTGTTAAAAATGCAGAGTTTGGAATCTGTCAGAATGTCAAATGATAGAAATGTTTAGTCATGATTAATGTCATAGTTAACGGTTAATCTCAGTTATTCACAGTATTGAGGTCGTGGGTTCGAGTCCACCACAAGACCTCCTCTATCGACTCCCTCTGATGTCTGCTGTGGTTCTGTCCTTGGGCAAGACACTTCCCCCACATTAGAATGAGTCTGGAGTGTGTGTGTGAGGGGTTGGTGATGAGAGAGAAAGAACAATGATGTGAAGAGACTTTGAGAGTCAGAAAAAGCGCTGTATAAAACCAACACATTATTAATATTATTTAGTTTTCTCTCCTGCCGTCCTCTCGTCCTCGACACAGACCGAGGCCAGACTCTGCAGACCTGGGACAAGGACAAACTTGTCTCAGAGTCTGATGAGTCACAGGAGCCTCCTGTGTTTGCACTGGAGGCAAAGTCATTATCCACATTATTGTTTCTAATGAAGGAGTTTTGTGCTGCTCAGAGCGGAGGTGGAGGATGTTCGCTGTTCCACGCCTGCAGCGCTCCACACCAAACTTACACCATTGGGATTTAGATGAATCATGATTTGAAAATCACTTTCAAACCACAAAAATGTTAATGGTTATGTAATAAATACCCATCTGAAAAGTACAAAAGTGCATGCTAACACGACATGCTAACACCGCATGCTAACACAGCATGCTAACACGACATGCTAACACCGCATGCTAACACAGCATGCTAACACGACATGCTAACATGACATGCTAACACGACATGCTAACATGACATGCTAACATGACATGCTAACATGACATGCTAACATGACATGCTAACACAACATGCTAACACAGCATGCTAACATGACATGCTAACACAACATGCTAACATGACATGCTAACATGATATGCTAACACACTAGTTGATTCAGTATTTTATTCTATATTATATTATAATTATAATTAATATTTATTCAAAGGAATGCTTTGTGCTCAGTAGTTCATGGGACTTCATGGAGACCGGGAGATTAGCAGAACACGCCTATATTTGGGCATCGTCTGGTCCCGGTTCTGCGCAGTGGACGAGCTCCCATGATACTTTGCGCCAAATATGCGTGTGTGGCTCTCATGCACGTGCACAGAGGGGCTCGGCCACGCTCTGACCAATCAGAGGGCAGCGTTTTGACCAATCAGAGCAGCTGATCTGAGCGGAATTAGAGCGAGAGCCAAACCAGCAGAGTTTGTGCCAGTAAAGTGTGGAGGGGACAGGTCCATGGATCTATAATGATAACTGGATAGAGTCTGGAGTATTACTAGCTTAGAGCTGTCCCACTCATGGCCACAGGGGGCGCTGTGGTACTGCAGACTAAATTCACATCACCCAGAAAAAAGTCCCATAGAACTCAATGTAAACTAAAACAGCTCGACCTCAGCTGACAGAGAACCTGACAGAGAACCTGACAGAGAACCTGACAGAGAACCTGACAGAGAACCTGAAAGAGAACCTACAGCTTTCATAAAGGTCAGATTTTGTGGGGATTTTAGTGTCCCTTGTCATCCTGAACTTTTTTTCTTCTTAAATCCTTTGTTTTTTTTAAATGTACACTTTACTGCCACACCTTTCCTTCCCACTCTGACTCCCGCTCTGATCAGCAGCTCTGATTTAAGCACACTTTAACATTCTCCAAAAAGGAATAGACATTTATCAACATGTGCTTTATATTCTTCATGTGTTTTAACTGTTGATTCTCTGACCTGTGTTGGTGATTTCAATGGTTTTGTTAAGTCTCTGAGATGATACTGTTGTGATTCAGGGAAATACAAGAATACATTGTATTGATTGGTCAGAGCGCAGCCGAGCCCCTCCGTGCACGAGCATGACAGCCACACTCTGCATAGTTGAGGCTAAGTTTTGTTGCATGACTGTGACTGAGTGTAATTCAAACTTAACATAATTGTTTTAATCATGTTTCGTTTGTTAGGACTTTTCTGAGCTTGTTTTTGGAGTTTGTTTGTGGTAAAACCGTTCGCACGCTCCTCATTATCCAGGATAAAAATAGTTCTGTGCCACAACTGAAGGATCTATCTTTTTAATGCACTGATTATTTAGGATTTTACTGAAACGCCTTGTCTTGCCGTTATTGTGACTTAATGCTGTTTATAATCAGAGAGCTGTCTCGTGACGACACAAACAACTGCAACAATTAAGGCTTTAATCCAATGTAACACTAAACAACAACAAGAGAAAGAGATACAAAAGTAACAAAACTGGGCTCGAGGACAAAAACACTCCCAACACTCGCACTTCCAACCTGGCGCCCCTCATTTGCACGTTCCTGATGATGGGTGTGAGTGCGTAGGGTGCATGGATCTATTATAATAACTGGATAGGGTATTACTAGCTTGTAGCTGAATAACCCATGTGCTCGGGGCATTCTCGCGGTACTGCAGACTGCAGACTGAACCAGACTAAATTCACGTGGGCTACCCAGAAATGTTCCCCATAGAACTCAATGCATATTAAAACAGCTCAACCTCAGCTGACAGAGAACCTACAGCTTTAATAAAGGTCGGATTTTGTGGGGATTTTAGTGTCCCTTGTCATCTTGAACTTTTTTTCTTCTTAAATCCTTCGGTTTTGTTTAAATCCACACTTTAGTGGCACAAACTCTGCTCCTCTGGCTCTCGCTCTAACTCCCGCTCTAATGAACTGCTCTGATTGGTCAGAGCGTGGCCGAGCCCCTCTGTGCACGTGCGTGAGACCCGGTGTGAGACCCACACACGCAATGCATTATGGGAGATCATCCACTGCACAGAACCGGGAGGACCAGACGATGCCCAAATACAGGCGAGTTTCCCAAAGATCTTTGCGAGTTTCAGGCAACTTCCGCTAATCTTTCAGCCCCCGTTGTCACTCCCGTATTCGTCCCGGAAACCGGATTCGTCCGGAAGTTCAGTTTGCGCATGTCAAAAAGTTTAATATGTCCTTAAGTGGTGACTGGTTAAGTTTAGGCGTCTGACTAAGATGGTTAAGGTTAGGGTTAAGGCTGGGTTGGGGTTATTTTATGGGAATGGCTGGTTAAGTTTAGGCATGAATAGGTAGTTTTTTATACTTACTTCCACTTCCGTCCAGATTCCGTGACGTAATCTACTGCTGCGTATGCTCATTGGATCAAACTGAACTTCCGGACGAATCCGGTTTCCGGGACGAATACGGGAGTGACACCCGTGCTGTCACAAAGCGCCACTGAGCACAACCATTCATTTGAATAGGGCGCCATCTTGGATCGCCGGGGCTTGGTAGGGTCCAGTCCCAATCCTCCAGGGAGGTCTTTGGCCCCGCCCCCTTTGCGCCCCTGATCCACACTTCCCCGTAGCCTGCATCTATGCGCACTCTGGCAAAGGATATCGCCCATAATTCTTTGCGGTACACACCAAAACGTCAGGAAAATGCATTTAAGTGTAAGTTTTTAAATATATCTGCTGTTTGAGTATACATAAGTTTTGCTGTTACTTGGAAAGAAGCATAAACGTCTGATGAAGAATTACGGACATTCTATGGAAACAATTTCACAACTTTGTTAATGTAAGCATTTATATAACATTCAATTTAAGCTTTAAACTAAACTTTACACTTTGGAAATCAAAGATATAACA